TAGTAATTCGCAGTAGGTGTTCGTGTTCCTCTCCCACCCACACCATCTTTGTCGTGGTGTGTATGTGCAGGTCTTTTTTATGCATGATCTCCCTTTCTTGAAATTTTTTTGTATAAGGTGTTTATGAACTCAGTGCGTTTGTTTTGTCCCTAATTATTCTGATTGTTTTCTGAAATTGGTCTTTCTATTAGATTGCAAAAATATTTTTAAGGTATCTGATACACTCGTTTTCTCTTTTAATAAATAAATCCCAAGTGGCTCTTAAGAAATCATCAACTATGGTTAAAAAGTAGAGTGCACCAAAAATACAATTGACCGGGTATGGTCCCCAAAGATCAACATGTATTAAACTAAAAATGTCACTGGTATTAATGAAACTTTTAGGGAAAGACAAACGCTGTTGTTTTGCCACGGGGCATATTTCACAATCATGTAAAGTTGCACTGCCTGGTAACTTTAGACTGGGGATGTGGATCAATTTTTTTGTGGATGTGTGGCCGAATCTTTTGTGCCATAGTTGTAGGTTGTTTTTTTGGGTGTGGATGGTGCATGCTTTGTTAGAGTTTATGTCTTCACTCAGGGTGTATAGGCCCTTCATTATTGTTCCCTTCCTCAATATTTTGTTAGTTGTCAAATCCTGCACAAAACAATGGTTGAGATGAAAGGAAATGTAGGTATTTAAAACTTGTGTTAGCTTTATGACATAAATAAGGTTACAAGTGAATTTTGGTATATAGATGACATCTTGCAAAGTTAGATTATCACACAGCTTTATGGTTCTTTTGTGAGTTGAATGACTCGTGGTTCCATCTGGCAACGAGATAGCACGGTAGGTTCTAGTTTTACGGGTTTTGAAAGCATTTTGAAATCATGGCATATGTGTAATGTGGTACCTGTGTCTATTATCCAAGTTCCTACATTATTAAAAGCATGTAAAAACAGCATTTAGGTTGCTTACCAGGGGGGCTAGAGTAGCCCATGCACCCTGTTGATTCTACCGCGTTTGCTCCTTGGTTTTTCATGTACTTGCTGATCTCTTGTTGTATGAGTGTGGCCATTTATGTGCCCCAGTTTGTGTTGAATGCTTTTGTTTTGGAATTATTAGGGGTAGTGTTTGCCACTGCATTGACTTTTTCTTTTTTCCTTTTCCCTTTGAGTTCTACAAATCATTCTGGGTAGCCATGGAGCTTGAAACATGTGTCCTTCGTGTGCCATGTGTTCTTGTAATAAGTGCATGTCCTGCTGTCCTTTTCCTTTTTTCAATTTGGAAATTTTGGATTGTCTTTCAGGTTGGTGTAAAATGCAACAGGTGTCCCCTCAGGTGAGTTACTATTGTGTACTTCTCTTTGTTTTTCAACACTAATCACCATAGAATAAGCTCTATTTATACCCGGTAAGGGTTCCATGATCAATATTTGGTTTCTGACATGGTCATATGAGTCATTAAGACCCATTAGAAATTGGATTAGGTTGTTGGTATTGTTTATTTCATTGTGTTGTGTTGTAGCATGGCAGGCGCAAGCAGGTAAGGGCCTTAGGTGAGTTAACTCATCCCATAGCCTTTTGAGTTTTGTATAATAGGCTGTGACAGAAAGGTTAAATTGCGTAATGGAATTGATTTCACGTTTTAATTTATATAATAGAGGTCCGTTGCTTTCACCATACCTCTCTTTTATTTCATCCCATAAGTTTTTTGCTGATATGGTGAATAAGAAGGCGCTAGCGAGCTCTTTGTTCATCGAGTTCAGGATCCAAGACACCACCATACTGTCTGTTTTGTGCCATTGTTTATATTCTGCTGCATCAGATTTGGCCTTTTTGCATTTGCCATCAACGAGAGCGAGCTTGTCCTTGGCTCGCAATGCAATCACCATGGCTTGGCTCCAAGACAAGTAGTTGGGGCCATCAAGTG